AAAACCACAAGAAAGTTTTTGAGATAGTGAAAAGATATTTTTGAAGTTAGACTGTGTATTACAACAGTTTTTTATTTTTTAATGTTTGGACTTTTATGTCACATGGGGACGAAAGAGACTGTTTATTTCCCGAATCAATACCGACGTTTCGCTTTTTAGTAAGACATAAAGCTTTCATCAAAGCTATAATATGTTCAAGAATTTTCTGTGCCCCCGTTCTACTAGCTTTTTTTCAGATATTGTTATAGATTATTAAATTATTAAAAAGAAAACTTATCTAATTAGTAGAGTTATTACTACAGCAACCTCTGCAAAAGGTGAACATTTGCTAAAGAATATTCCACAAATTTTTTGACTAATACAAAATTAACTGCCCCTGGGTAATTTAAGGTATATTTTAATTCAATAAAAATACGTTTTAATTGAGGTCTCATTAGGTATTTATAAATCATCACGTAAAAATATTATTTATTCTGTCGTAAGTGAGAAATAAAAAATTAATCTGATTATTCCTCCACCTGCTTCTTTTTGTTTTTAATCAGCAAAACTGGTAATAATCGAAATACGATTCTTTTCTTCATAAATATTTAAAGTACCTACAAAAATAGTAAGTATACGGTAAAGTTTTTGCATAATATTGATTTTTAATGATATGTAGAAATCTCCAAACGGCAAAAGTGATGAATGTTATCCCTATCTAAATCTAAACTGTCGATACATTCATTTGATCCAAAATATTTGATAGGGTCACTAAAAGGTTGAGTCATTACCAATAACCTTTCAAAATCACCATTTCAAATGAAGTACTAAGAAAATTCAAATGAAAAGTAGTGTGCCAAACACTTTCAGAAATATATTTAGCAAACCAACTTAATATTAATTTCAGGCTTCACGTTAAAAATATTTTGCAATTAACATACTACGCCTAATGAAGAAAATGATTAGTAACAGAGTAACAGTACATACCAAAATTAAGTTTAAATTTCTTATGCGATGAACAGTGATGCTGTAACATTTTTTTTCTTCGTGCACTGGGTCCTTTAATAATAACACCAATTTGACATAATCTATGATAATATCTTAATAAGCCTACTTCGTAAGGAAAAAACTGATAATTTTTATAATTACGTTTTCCATAACTAACTCAGTTATTTCCAGCAACTGCTGCAAGTTCGATAAGCGAAATGCGTATTTTAATGAGGACGGTCAGGGACAGTTTTTCTGTTAGCAAACATAAATAGATATCACATAACCATCCCCATTACGTAATTATTTGACGAAAATTTGAAGCATCTTTTGTGAAAGCTACAAAAAAGAAAACAACCACCCGATTTAGTTAATAAGGTACTGCAACATTTAATGATCATGCGGAAGGAGAAAACAGCTGCACTCGACGAAAGAGCTTACCGATTCTTAATTAAGGAACATGTCCCTCTAGCAAAACTGAAACATTTTGTGGCAATACAAAAGTCTACCATGGTTATGTGTTTATAGTTTTTACAGTAGGGTTTCGTTTTTATCTTAATAAGATGCCATAAAATTCCACCTATGACGATATCGAAATGGTACAGTAACATGTGTTTCTCGTTGCAACCTCTCAAGCACTACAGCTAGAGATCTCAGATTTATTAAACATTTCGCATGTAAAACTTCAAAATAAATCCAATGCCACCGCTTTCGTCCTCTTTGAAGGATTACATATAAGGATATTCACACTTTTATATATGCGTCCGGCCAACAAGCCACTTTGAATCATTTTGTACTGCCAAAAGGCCCCTTGAAAATCATTAAGTATTAACCATTTTAGAACGTAATGTATCAAATAGCTTGGTATAATAGTCAAACTTCAGCAACATTGTCGCTTCATTGGAAGTTCTACATGAATCTAATAACAGACTTAATAAGTAATTAACTGTAGATAAACAAAACAAGCGTTTCTTTTTTATTGATAATTTACTTTTTTTAAAACGATTCTGTTACATAAACACCTAGTACTTATTCGTAAAAATAGAATATTTATTGAATCCAGGGCTCCATTTCATCATCGTATGGCAAAGCAAACAGTAACCTGTATATTGTTGCCCCACAAATACCACCCATTAGTTGGCCAAAAATGAAGTACTGAAATAAGACAAGAGAGAGAGACTTTTATATACTTTTGTTAATATTTCTCTAGGATGGCTTATTTATTTTATTTTTTAAAATGAATTTACAGTAAATTTCGTTTATAACGACAACAAAATAGTCAGACTCAACCTGTACCTATAAATAAACAAAATAAAATGAATTCACGATTTTATAAATGATTCTTTACATTTTTGTCGATTTGTTCGCTACATCTGTATTGAGACTTCTATAAATTTATAAAAAACGATTGAAAAATCAATTGCTATACTCGACATGAGCGTTACATCCGAATTCTCTATAGCCGAATGAGTTTTTAAGATAGTACGCTTTAAATTGGATGCAGTTAGGCGTTATGTCGCTATAACCAGAAAATCGTTGCTATCGAAACGAAATTCACTGTATTATGCTTTAAACATACCCAAACATATTCAAAATTTAGATTTATTAGGGCAGGTGCGAAACTTCTAGCGGGATTCATGTGACATCCAGTAATGTGCCCCTAAAACGTAAAAGCAATAAACTCTCTAAAAGCCAAATATTCTTATCCTTGCCTATAAAATACTCGTACGGCTTTTTAGTGCTATGAAATTCTCTCAGGCGTGCAGGACAAAAATACAGGTTTTACGAAAAACATTTCATTTTTATTTTTGCTCTCATAATGAAGAACTGCAATATATCTACAAATATGCTATTTTTCGACTTTCTTTATTGTGCGGTTGTGTTTTTATAGTCTTCAATTTAAACAGTTAATATTTCTTATATTTTACAAAAAATTTTACAATTTAAATATTTGCTGCTTGAGAATAGCATTTTATATCAATTTTGTTTCGATTTGTCAACCGTATTTCCGATCTCTTGTGTTGGGTTACAATTATATTACTACACATCTATTCAAAATCTTGTTATATGGCGGTATTCTTAATAAATTTAAAAGTTCAGTCAACTTTGAATTTCAAATTTTTTCTATTTCATCCCTTAGTTTGGATAATATTAAGTAAAGTTTATGGTAACTAAGGGTTGGAAGGTTTTTATTTATCGAAAACCAACACCGATGTTTCGCCTTTATTTAGGAATCTTTTTCAAAGCTACAATATTATAACATAGTAATATAGGACACTTTACATTGAATTTACACTTACTGGGTTCTTCAGTTATAAATTATAATTGAATTTCAAATATTTACTGAAAAAATAACCAATAAAACTTCGCTCGAATACTTACAAAAGCTAATACTTCACAGATTACAACAAACGCCAGTTTGACTGCTATCGCATCTAGATGCATGCGATTTCTGGAATCCCACATACCACAATAGACCAAAATAAGAATAAATGATGCAAAAAATTCAGTTAACAGACCATTTGTTGGGTACAGTTCAGGATGAACGCCGGGTGAACAGATATTAACATCTCCGGCTTTTCGGTAAAATGGAGCAGTATTTAACTGCAGTTTTTTAATGAAAAGGAAATTAATTGCAAAAAAGTAAAAATACAAAAGCTAACGAAAGTAGGAAATTTTACATGTAATTGCTACACAGCAAAAATCTCATAAATTCCTGACTAAATGTAAGCACTGTATAAAAGATAACAAAAGAAATAATTTTGCTTTTCAGTATAAAAACCAGCATATATTAGCTGTACTTATTATGACAACAATGTTTAGTTAACATTTTTACGTAGGTATATTCTTGCTATTCTCGGAAACCGCGCTGCATTTATTATAATTTGAATAAACTTGCTGAAATATTATGCATATACGAGGGTGGATTGATAAGTTTCCGGCCTAACCAAGAGATGACGCCACTAGGCCTACCTTGAGGTGACATTCTATAGTACCATCCTTGGATAGCTTGTAGCTATAGTTTCAGCCCGATCTCCTTGCTAG